TTTACCCCCCCCAACCCTTCCCCCATTTTACTGCCAAGCAGCATTCAGAGGAGAAATGGACGACTTCCCCAACAAACGGGAGTGGGTGTGTTAGTTACACGTCGTGTTACATAAAACACGTAATAACAAGAGAAGCAACGCGTTATCTCCATAATATTTTAGCACAAAAAAACGCAGCTGAAACGGTGAGATAATCAGCTGTAAACACCCCTCTCTCTCTTATTTTGCGTTCGCAGTTTACAAATATAAAAAAAACAGCAAAACATGACGTCAGAGCGCTCGGCAGTCAGCGCTACGCTATAAATACGTCTCGCCATAGTCCGTGAAATATATACAAAATGTAATGTGACTGTTAAATAACAGCCACGCTGCCGCAAAGTGTCCTCTGCTTTAAGCTGGCTGCCATTTCTTCCTCCCCTCGAAAAGAGGCGTGCGCGACTCACATTTGCCCGTACGCTTCCGCAGAGGAGCTTGCGCTTTTTTCTTTTGAGGGGGAGGGGGATTTACTGAAACGTACCCCCCGATTACGAAGCAGCCGTGGCGGGGATTCGCTTTAGCGTTTAATGGGGGAATGTTTTAGCTGGTGATCCGCGCGATAGAAAAATATATATTGTTTTTCGTGTGGGGGTTATAAAGCGTTCAGCGCGCTAGCTGGCGCTCGGCGGAGGGATACCGGACGCAGGCGGGACTGTGTGTGTGTGAGCGCAGCTGAATGGAGGCAGCCTCTTCCTGGTGGATAAACAGTGACAGCTACAGGGCAAGCCAACCTACAGACCCAGCTCTGCCTGCTGCCCAAACAACACCAAAATGGCTTCAGACAGTACACACACCGCGCAGTTGACTTCTGGTGAGTAAAGGAGAACGGGGGATTGTGTCACGGTTGTTTTTAATATCCACCCCCCAACAAAAAAAGAAAAAAAATCTTCGGTGCCCATTTCTAACGCAGCTCCCGTCCTCTCTTCTCCCCCTCCATACCAGAACTGTACTTCCTAATAGCCCGGTTTCTACAAGCTGGACCGTGTCAAAAAGCAGCCCAGGTCGGTGTTTGTGTATTTTAGGGTCATTTAGAACGCGTCCGGGATTGTCAGGAGGTGTAATTTGTGCCTTTTTTATCCCATTTTCAGACCCTGATAAGGGAGGTGGAGGAGAAGGAGGTGAGCAGTCAGCGCTAGCAGAGATGCTTCTCTCTGCACTGTAACTATGTCATGTTGCTTTGACTCTAATCGACCGTTTAGCGATTTAAAAACCTCMTCTGGTACATTTATGAAGTCAGTGCTGACCTTCGGCTCCGTTTCTCCACCTCAGCTGCTGCCCAGAAGGCTGGACTGGACCGGGCTGGAGCACCCGGGGACGTACGACAATTTGGTAAGGCTCGCTGTATAACTGAGGGAAAAGTTTTTAACAGAGAGAGCAAAATAAAAAATTGAATTTCCCGCAATTTTTAAATCAGGTGGCAAAGGGGGTAAAAGCAAATGCTCCAGAGGAGTTGTAGGTTTTAGTGGGGGGGATGGTTTTGCAGGATGGAAAGGGAAGGAGGTCTCGACCTCCTGTTGCAGCAGGTTCAATGCCATGCAGGTCCAAATGTGTGTTTTTTTAAAATATGGGAAACAAGTAGTGAAATGTTGAAACGTCATGAGTTGTTGTGGTGTAGGAGCGCCAGGAGCCGGAGGAGGGACTCCCTGCGCCACGAGCCTCACAGACATGGAGGCGCTCTTGTCCTGCTAAGAACCAGAGCCTGGGTGCTGGAAACACATCGGAGGCAAGAGTTAGAAAACAGGACTTCTTTCTGTTTTAAAAAAAGGGCGTTAAGGTTTTTTAAAAAAACAAATCAGAGTGAAACTGGAGTCTCCAGCTTGGAGCTCGGCTGCTTCCTGGTGCTCCTGGACGCGTTTTGGAGCTGAGTTTTTGGGCTTTTTTTCACGCAAGACGAGGGATTTCACTTCCTGTGAAGATGACAGGTAACTATTAGTTAATAACATAAATTTGAGCTATTGATTTAAGCGTTAAATGTGTAAACAAACGGCGTAATGAATAAAAAAAGACATATTTTTTACGCACGGAGAGACGTGGTTTATCACCGGTTATGTTTGCGTCCAAGCCGAGTAAACTATATTTCTGCTGTTTTTGTCCTGTTTTAACAATAAGACAAATTAATTTCTCGTGGACCTATTAATTTAAAGAGACCTTCATTTTTGAATGTTTATCTTTTCCCTTTGTTTTCTGTCAGAATTTGGCGCTCAGACGCACAACCATCCAAACAACGCTTCACCCGTTTTGGATGTGAAGCTATATGT